CCTTTTGACTGGTTAATTGATTCAGCTGAACTAGGCCGCGGCTGCTGCCTGAGGCGAAAACATCCTCCGTCTTCTGGGTCTTCCAAATCCATTAGTGTTCTCTGTCATTCTTCAGGCTGCGGATTATCTTGTGTTTTAAGTGTCTGCGTGCGTTATCACAGTCGTCAGTTGTTGGTTTGGCTTTTCTGAAAGCAATAAGATCTGTGGATCTCGATGTTTATTAGTCGAATCGGATGGCTTGGACAAACATTTGTGAACAGTTCTGAGTGCATAGCCTCTTTAACCCGCTTCCACTCAGCTCCAAGCGATTTTTAGTCATCTGCTTGACTGTGCGCCTCCATAACAGTTCTGAGTGCATAGCCTCTTTAACCCGCTTCCACTCAGCATCCAAGCGATTTTAGTCATCTGCTTGACTGTGCGCCTCCATTACCCTTCTAGCCAGATCAACTCGATACTCTTGAGATACCTGAATTTGTCGGAGTTGCTGAATGTAACTGCTCTGCTTCGTTAAGCGCAATGTTCACGGAAAGTGAACTGATAACCAGACTTGCACAGTGGTTTGACCAGAGTCAACGTGGCCACTTCAGAATCCTTAATTGAGTTTCTCTACCAGCAACTGATAACCACATGGTCCAGTTGAGTCCATGACTGTCCGGTGACTGGTGGTCTCCAAGTAAATTGATGGGAGCGTTTGTAATAATCTTCTGTACCGACCAGGAACAGACGATGATGTGAAGACAGCTGAAGAACCCACTCCTCATTTTCCGTAGGCTAAGCACCGACTCCAAATCTACCACCCAACTGTGTTTCTTCCGCCTACTAGGTTTGCTGATCAAAGCGGTCGCGACAGATCTTTATAAAACCTGTCCTTCTCATTCTCAGAACTGCAGTCTTCTGTGGTGTGTGCTGATACGACAAATAAACACAGTCTACTGCATCGACCTGCGTTGATGGTAATTGAGCCAGACAACGACACATCACAAAGACGTCTGTTTACCGGGATCCAGTCCAGTAACGCGCATTCAGCCTTAGGGTTGGGTGAAACTTGATACCAAGAGATTCCTATTGCCCTATTTGACAAGGAATACGGACATTAAAGGCTCCAACGTGAATAGGTTCTTTTGAGGCTAGTAAGTAATTATTTGGGTTTGTTTTTCTGGGCGGCCGTTTATACACGGAGCAGTGGCTAGGGGACTGGTAAACAGGTTGATAGCACTGCATCTTTCGATGGGTGGGGAGGAGTGTGTGGCCGGTGAGCGAAGAGCTGCAAGTTCGGATGATACTTCTCGGTTTCCCAGGCCGAAGGAGGGGGTTGAGGTACCGTACCCCATCTTGATCTCTTGACTCAAGTCTCTCCTACAAGACAGGTTCAGTGCACGCTTTCTGCTACAACTTAGAGGGGAGGTCGTAAAGAGAATGGATGGTCAGGTTATCTGACAGCTAGGTTACAGAGCCAATCGGGGAATAAGTCATTTATGAAACTGACGCATGAGTGCTGTCGGTTGCCTCCTCGTAATTCTTCAAAATATTTAATACTTCAATGGTTTGAAATTTTTGCCCTATTTGACAAGGAATACGGACATTAAAGGCTCCAACGTGAATAGGTTCTTTTGAGGCTAGTAAGTAATTATTTGGGTTTGTTTTTCTGGGCGGCCGTTTATACACGGAGCAGTGGCTAGGGGACTGGTAAACAGGTTGATAGCACTGCATCTTTCGATGGGTGGGGAGGAGTGTGTGGCCGGTGAGCGAAGAGCTGCAAGTTCGGATGATACTTCTCGGTTTCCCAGGCCGAAGGAGGGGGTTTGGTTGAGGTACCCCATCTTGATCTCTTGACTCAAGTCTCTCCTACAAGACAGGTTCAGTGCACGCTTTCTGCTACAACTTAGAGGGGAGGTCGTAAAGAGAATGGATGGTCAGGTTATCTGACAGCTAGGTTACAGAGCCAATCGGGGAATAAGTCATTTATGAAACTGACGCATGAGTGCTGTCGGTTGCCTCCTCGTAATTCTTCAAAATATTTAATACTTCAATGGTTTGAAATTTTTCCCGTGCTCTACATTGTTGTTATCACTTGTTTATCTTCTATCCCAGCATCATTGCAGGAACTGCGGAAATAGCTTTTGCGCAGAATGCTCATCCGAGCGAACGGTTCTACCCCAATTCGGTATCGAGAAGGAAGTGCGGGTTTGTGATCACTGTTTCGAACAGCTCACTCGGTTAGTCGGCCTTGTTTTCTCCCCTCATTGACGCTACTTATAAGTAGTCCATTTTCTAAACTTTTTCGGTTCAAATTTGAGCTGCTCGGCCGTTCGTGGCACACAACACCCTACATTTACTTTCAAATAAGCCTTCATTCGCATAGGTAAATGACGCAAACTTGAGCTATGCGTTCGAATAAACCCGGCACCGATTGTGTTTTTCAACCGTATGGAGGCTTCACGCTTCTGGCCCCAACTGGACCAAAAATCAAGAGAGCCGAAGTCTTGCCCCCATATATTGAGTGGGTGAAATTGGACCACCTGTTTTCTGTGTCCCTTTGTTCGTTTCAGGGATATAGGTGACTTCTTCGTTCGTTGTTCTTTGTGTAAATATTTCGCGTGTGTTCTTCAAATGGAGATGCAGTGTGAAATCTGCTTTGATTTTCAGCTGAGCTGACACTCATGTCAGAGTGTTTTGTGGGATTACTTAGAATTATTCGACATTTATTTATTTGTTTTCCCGTTTTTGAGGTAGCTGTGCCCCTCAGTTTGTGTTCACTTCCTACCCATTGTCTGTTTTTCTCTTTTTGGTCGTCTTATCATTAGCTACTTTCGTGGTACCTAGATTGTGTGATGTTAACAACTACCCACCTGAAGTAGTAATCAGTAGCAACTATCCAACTAAAGTAGCGATTGAAACGAACAAACGTCCACTGAATTCCTTCTACACTAACTGATTCAGCCATCACTGGATTATAGGACACACCTGCTTTCTTCAGGAACATCCATACTACCTGAACGAATCGTTTGATGAGTTAGAGTAACGAATGTGTTGGTGTTGAATATAGCTTTGAAATCAAATTACCTTCGTTTCTAACTTGACCCCGCCGTGGTTTTTCCGGCCATATTCATAGAATTATGTTCCCACATGAATCCTAATTGGTTTTATCTTGTCTGTATTAGTCAGATTCTGAACACTGTAGCTGGCATTCTGATTCACCTAATAGAGATTATCTCAGGGGCTGAACCGTTGTGGCCAGTCCAGGCAAGCAGAATTAAATATGGTTCAACCGTATTAATAGTGATAACCTTATATAGGCTGACGACCGCATCAGGAAGTGCTTTACTGTGACGTATTGATTCTCCGAAGGGGGAATCGTGTGGGTGCTTTTGCGCAGTTGTCGATCTGTGGATTTGGTAACTGTATAGAGTATTCGCTTCGCCAAATAATTTTGGCAGGATCGCTCGTGTAATGTCATGATTACCTTACTTTATCTGTGCCTGAGGCAGCCCGGACTGGATAAATATTTTTCAAAAATGCGAAAATTCATTCGGGTTACTACCAAAACCGATCGCATATCTTCGAATATTTAGTCTGCTTCACTTCAATAAGCATATGAGGAATTCAGACTTATTTCTTCGTATCGTTTCGGACGGTAGCACTTAGGTGACCTTCATGTAAGTTGGTGTAGTATTACCATCCGTTGGGGAATAATATGTTTACCAAATTTCGTAGCTCGCTGTTTTATGTGGTTTCATTTTTTTTACTGTCCATGTGATGATCTCTCTACAGTGCGTGCTGAATGGATAACATCCTCGCGTTTCTAGTTTTGTTTTCTCTGTTTCTTATTGAACTCAGTCACTCCGTCGAAATTAAGTCATCTTTCTGCTCTCATGAAAAAAACCCGGACAGAGAACTTGAGGGAGGATAGATCGAAATCGATTTGTGCTATTTTTCTCCAAACAATCATTAGAATGTTGTTTTTGTGAAATTGCTGCTGCGGCACTAGATGAACAAGTAGCATCGTCAACGTTTTTCTCCTGCTGCCCATAGGAGATATCTTACAGCTACCGTATCACGAGGCTGATTTTGCTGTAATTTAGAGACCACAATGTCTTTGTTGAGAGGGCAGTATTAGCATATCTCCATATGATGTTACAATGTCTCGAGCGGGTTGTGCACACCAGGATGGACGAGCACACTCACACTGAGACCTTTTTAGATTCTTTTTGGGACAACTTCTAAATAACAACTGCGCTGGACGGAGCGGAGTGACCCCTCGTTGCTCTGGTCACTAGTGTAACCACTACGTCTTGAGGCGCGTTTTGGATCTTGCCGTTAAAGTTCCATTCATTGATTAGAATGTCCCCTATTTCTAGTCTATCGTTGATATGCAGATTGCCTCTGGGATGGTTTTATATGTTATGCAAAGGAAGGATGCGGCATCGAATAATCTGTCTCCTATACATACTTGTTTACGAGTTGGTTCACTTGTATTCCTGTTCCGCACAATCATTCAAAACTTGAAACATGTGTGTGGATTGAACTACTTGGTTATGAGGCACTTTCTTGTCAAGACTTTTTTGTGTGATGACTTCGGAAAATAGTTATCTTAGTGGACTGGGCGCTCACTCCCCACTTTCTCAGATGCTGTTCTGTCTGTTTGACTGCGCTTGATTCCGAATAGTGCTGTGGGAAACCAATTAGAAAAGCGAATCCGCTCAAACGGGGTGAATTCAGAAGGCTATTCGATCCTCTCACGTCCTTATAGCCACCCCATTTCATTGGTGTGTCATGTAACGACACAGTCCATCACATGGTCTGCATTCTACATGATTGGTCCCGCTGTTCTCACAATACGCGCATGTCCTGCTTGTTTGCTCAGACTGTCGCCATGGTATCAACGCACCAACCGTGCGCATACTAGGTTAAAATGGTAGTCCGGCTATCCGAAGGATTCAAATTTTAAGCCTAGGCCCGGATAGCTCGCATCTTCAGTACCCATCCGCCATGCATGACAAATGCCCTTGAAACCGCACAAGAAGTCGCGATCGAAAGCTGTCAGGTAAATGGCGTTTTGCCTTCTATTACCGCATACGTCGGTTTATTGCATTCCCGCGTGTCATAGCAGGTGGTCGCTGATGAGGTTTTTATTAGCTTTTCGAAACAAAAATTCAGCTTGTAGATCGACCACGCTTAAATTTTAATTGTCAAAATAGTCATCATTAAGTTTTTGCGAAGTGATACAAAAACCTGGCTCTGTACGCATTGTTTGAATCTGTGATATTTCTAATCCTTTCGTGAAAATTGAGTTAACACAGTACCCGCGGGGGATTTCCAACTTTATCCTCAACGAAAATGCATCCTCCTTGGAGTGAACCAGTAAGAACCGTGCAGCATGCTTCCCGGCTGGGTTGGTGAAACTTCAATTCTTTCCGGTTGTTTCCCAACAGCTTTCGTGAGGATAGGCTAGAATCATTTACTTTGTCTGAAGTGATTGCTCCAGCTATTCAGTGCGCTTGCACGTGTATGATTATCGTGTGCCAGCACAGCACGTTGAAGTTCCGTCGTTTAGGCCCTTAGGAACCGGAAATTTATTCATCTAGTTGAACTTCAATAAGCACCACTGGACATGGTAAATTTTGACGAATAGGTTTCCTTATATACCGACGAAAACAACGATGATTATTAGGAACTTGTAAAAGATCAATTTGTAGGTGCTTAGGGGATTTGAAGAACTTGTACACACATTCGTTCGAACAACCCTCCCACCTTGTTGCAGTTATTCTAGACACTCCACACAAAAAAGGGAGTGCACCGGGCCCGAGTTTCGCGCTAATTACAGCTCATATTTCGGGCTGTGCCATGATCTGAAATATGGATATCTGTTGTGCTCAGTAACTGCGTTTTCGCTACCCTGTCATCACATGCTGCATGCATCTGTATTATAACATCCGCACCGTCTAAATAAGTTGCTATCTCTGGTAGGTAGGACGCGGGCTGTCGTTTAGGAAGTCCGTAGCTCGAATCGGACCATGGATGCTTTGTGTGCTAGTCTTGGACAGTCTGACTGTATTCCATTTCTCTTACTTCTTTCAGATTCCACAGAAGCCGTGCACTTGTAGCGTACCATAGCTATTTAGTTCCGCCCAGCTCTCTTGCAGAGGTGCTCTTTTATTTGTATTGAATTTTTTTACTCAGTAGCAGTGTGCTCCTCACATAACATTTCTATTCCACGTAAATTCGTCTTTTTGTGTAATTCCTAACTCGTTACTAGACGAGCCGATGGAAAGCTTTTCATTCGGATACACATACAGGTCCTCCTGGATATCATGGAGGTATGTTCTGACAGCCAGAAAAACGTCTTGTGTGGAGTGGGACAGCGAAAATCTGACAGAATGCTGTAAAATTGACATGCATGTTATGCATGTATGTAGGTCTGCGTTATGAGAATGATTCTATCCCTATCCCGACTACCTCTACAATAGGTTGAGGTTTACTTAGCGTTTTCCAATTCATAACAGGAGAGTTTCGTTCTAGGAATATATCATTCTGCCCAGATATCAAGTCGAGCAGAACGGTCCGTTTCACAATACTTTTATCAGTAGATCGCTTTCGTAGTGCGCAGTGCAGAAGAGACACCCTTAAACAGGACCTCATTGGTTATATCTTACGATGCCACCTCATTCCTCTCTTTTTCAAGCTGTCTATACCGGAGAACACTGGAAGCCAGCCACTAAGTACCTGCTAACGTGCTATACGTCTTAACAGGCGATAGATTGCATGATCCACTGAAGTACGGATCATTTCACCCAACCCACGCAGGCGGACTTCATCTTGGGGGGGGGGGGGGGGTGTTATGGCAGCATGNTGGGGGGGGGGTAGTGTATTATGCGAACTATGTTTAATGACCCAAATAATTCCGGCGCATAGTCAGATATGTGCTTCGCAAGTATAAAATACAAAGTGATATTGTACGATTGGATGGAACCAAACCTAAACATCGTGAATGCAGGTAATTACGTTGGTCTATCTTGGCAGCTGCGTAAGTCCCGACGGACTGGAGAAGCCCTAAGGAAGCGCTTACCAACCTCTGACACTTGTGGTGTTGATATAACATCAGCTTGACTGTCAAGGGTAGGCTACACAGTGTCGCAGTTCGATCTGTCCTACATTACGGATCATGCCATGCATTTCGTATTCCGGAGGACCGTTTTCCTCGTAGAGCCCTCTTCACCTAGCCCTGTATCGGATGGGGACATCCAGGCATGTTCAGTCCATAATTGGAAACAAAGCATAAAAGGCTTTATTGGTTCCTTCAGTCGCATCTGGATCGGCCGTCTTCTCGAATAGGACCTAGAGACGAGACACATCTATGCGTAGTGATCATGTATGACGCAGCCAATGGCGGTCTGGCATCAAAACTGTCGCCTTCGCTGTTCTCACCTCCTGCAACACCAGACAGGCAAAACCATTCGACATCAGTGAATGGGTTGATCCACCGTCCCTCACGCGTGGCTCTCATTCCCGTTTTCTCCTTATTCACGGTGGAAGCACTGTAGCAGCTGGAACCATTGCATTTCGATGCACGGTTTGTATGCTGAACAACTCAACTGAGCTATCTGGGTAGTTTATTTGATCCAACATAATTGTACCGGGTTGTCGAAATCTGCTAGATGTGGAACCCTGTTGGGTCTCCTAAGCCTGACTGTAACTCTCGATATTGTGAAGCCCGTACCGAAATTCTGTCGGCTTCATAAAAAATATGGCTGTTGCTTCACAGCACGAACGTCGTGGTCACTGGTTGACCCAGATAGCTTTTGTTCACAGTATTCCTAGGTTTTCCTGGTTTATATCTCTCCTAAGACAGGTTATTACTTTGCCCCTGTGTGTGTTTGGGTACAAGGGATGCCCAGTCTCAAATGGATCTCGAGGAATGACGAACCTAACCTAAAAATCATGTTATAAACAGTAATTGTTCTCATAATGTCTTTGGATTAGATAGTTCTAAGGTTACATGCACATCACCGCATTTTGGGACAAACTTCACAGGGTACTCTACTGCTTACAAGGTAGTGAAAGGTCATCGTTCTTCTCTTTTTGGTACAGAGTCGACGAATTGAAACGTCCAGATTTGACGGTTTATAGGTATAAACTCTGTGACCTGTTTGTTTCAGATAGTCAGTGGGGGTATCTCTGAAAATCCGAAAAGACCCTTTCAGGGGCCAGGATAGGTTATGCTCATACACTCTGGGACTTCAACTTGTCGATGTACTTTCATCCGCAAATGCATTGAAATCAATGTGCATATTAGAATTGTCAAGATGCGTCACTGAATTTTTCATTCTGTTAGTGAAGCGTTTGCTGTCTCTTTAATGCGCAATTGCGCTGGACTAAACTTTCATCGGGATAGTCCGTCAAAAAGACCGTTGATCAAAAACGGAGTTGTCTCATTTTTCCGTTGTTTACGTTCCTACTGGAAGACTTTCACGCTGGTTTGTCAATCATTTCCTTCGTTTTCACTTCGCTAACTTGTTCATATCTTTCGCACCTGTCAGTCACCCGAATCAAGAGAAACCGGCCAAAGAAAAGAAGCCCCAACCCAATCGAGATGAGCAGGTAAATGACGGACTGTTGGCCACTTTTTTATCAACAGGTTACTGTGCGTGGGCATATCATCTGAGGTGTGAATCGCTACAACATTTTCATGCTCATCGTTTCGTTTCAGTGGGCGAGTAACCAGATTCAAGCAATATATTTCGGCTCTTTTTTAACGTATTGGAAGTGGTTACTGAACAGATTTTTCACCATGTACTTTTGCATATCAGGTTCGTTTAGAAATACTTGGGGTTTCTTTTTGCATTTTGTGCAGACCATATCACATCGGGCGTTTAACCACTGTATTTTAGCGCATCGGAGCTTTCGTGCCAGCACTGCTCTTTTGAAATAATACCATTGGCTCGACAGCAAAGCTGTTTCACTTTCGCTGTCGAATCTCCAGTGACACAAGACCATATTTGTCGCAGAGACTACTTCAGTCAGTTGACTAGTGGTGTGGACCCCCGAATTACCACATCGAGACACCTAAACGTGATGTGGGTAATAGATGTAGAACCGAACCATTCGTGTGTGAAGCTGTTGTGTTTCAAATGGGAGTGTGCAACCACGTGTCATATTCTTTCGCAACCACCCACCTTATTCTTCCAACTGTTGCAGTTGCTAGTCTTGGAAACAGTCCAACTATTCAATTTTTGCATACATCGTTTTCGCCGTTGGACGTGTGCCCCCATAGAGATCACCCTGACAACCAAAAATGTGATCTTTTTTGGGCGTTGTCCTGACACAGAAAACAGATTTTTTTACGAACTGAGCTCTTGTTTTGGGTTAGTTTACTTACTTCCCCACAACTACGGAAATGCAGACTTACCAATTAGCCTAATTTTCTACAAACATCTCTCTGCAACCTATTTGCCAAAAAAACTGTTACTCCAGACATCTTACTTCTGTGAACAAGGCATCTTCCAGCAAAGACAGATAATTTAAACCCGAGGGATCTAGGGGTTTAAACTCCGACAATAAAAAAGCGGCCAGAAAAGTGAAAAGCAATCGTCTCATCAACGGAGTGGAGTCAATAGGTATAGCAAAAATGGTTCAGCTGTATCATCCTTCCACTGCCTAGCTGCCATGCCACCCGAAGGAAGCACGAGGGCTGAGGTTCTGTCGAATCACCAAAGCCTAGGCGGGAGCAATCGGGATGTAGAGGTTGGGTCCGAACTGTGGACCTTTTACCGCTGAGCCATCTTGGGCTTAGTTGATAGGTATTCCCTTGCTTGATTCTACGTTCACCGAGTTGTCAGAAGGACTTTCGTTTTGGTGATACGTGAGACTCTCATTGAGTCAACCATAGCTGATTTCTAATTCCGTCTGCCTTCACAGTGTTTTCCATAGAAACGGAAATCCTGTTGTTATTGAAGGTTGAGAGTACCACAGTCGATCTACTGTGAAGCAGTGGCGCGGAGGATTAAATGTCACATCAGTAATATATAACTATGTGCAGTCATGATTTCAGGCTCTCCTATAACTGTACCAGGCCGACTTCCTTTTGAAAGACCCTCTACGGAAGAACGCCTAACCGTCAAGGGTCGAGTTTACAATGCTGCGGTGCGCACCATATTACTATATGGATCAGAAAACTGGCCATTGCGCGCCGAGGACGTCAAAATTTTTCAGTGGCCACTGCGCGCCGAGGACGTCAAAAAGTTTCATTGTTTGACCATCGATTCCTTCGGAGCATTACCCTAGTCTGGTGGGAACACCGGATCAGCAATGCTGAATTACGTCGAACTGTATTCGGAGGAAATAAATCATTCACGATAGATGAAACTGATCATACTTCATAGGTTGCTCTGGCTTGGCAACGTGCTCCGTATGCCAGTCGACCGGCTTCCTCGAAGGGTTTTTTTTCTCACAACCGCGTGAAGGATGGAAACAAGCCAGATGAGGTCAAAAAACGACTTGGCAACGAAGTATCAAATCCATTACGAGCAAACTCAGTTGCGCTGGTTTTCCCCCGTATTCCTGCGTGGGGACCCTGAGACGTACCACATCAGACGTTGGAGACATTTTCAGACATGCCCAAGTCGCGCCCTCAATGGCGCTCGTGCATCCAAGCCATTGCCTTCAGTGAATAGCCCCTTCTCAACCCCCCACTTAACAGTCCACTGACACCCCAGTATTTACGCATCAATTTATCAGCTCCCGCCTCCAATACGCAGCTACCTACCCAACCTACTTGAATCATCGGTTTTCAAGGTTCCAGCTTACGGACCGGAAGGTCCGTGGTTCGAAACCAACCTCGTCATATTGACCGCTCCTGTTCTAGCCTTGGGCAACCTGGCAGTATTCCAGCTCTAGTTCCTTCTTCCATTGGAGTGGCTGCTAGGCACCGAAAGGGTGCCTCAGCCGAACGATTTTTTTAATCAGGGGGATTTCCGATTGTTATAACGTAATGGCAATGTAAGTAAGCTTCCTCTTTCAGCAGTTTTTACCTCCTCCCACTGTATGTTGAAGGTTCCATGCGTTCAAAGGTCATACATGCAATTATCAAGTTTGTTGTTTGGCATGCTCACACTCCTCGTATGTGACCCCTCTCTCTCATTGGTTCCTTTTTTAAGTCATACTACGTTTGAAAAAATTGTCATTTTATATATTCCTCTGATAGGCTCGCAGAGATCAGGAGCGGAAGGAACGAGAATTGGAGGCCAGAGAAAACGAGGAACTCGAATTGGCCTTGGCTCTCAGTGCAAGTGAAGCTGAATCAAAGGAGAGGGAGGTGAGCTTGTCACATTTTTTGTCCCTATTATCGATTAATTAGCCTAGCTCACTTCACCGTTTTAGCTTCGCTCCATGTACCACTTAGCTGCCATTAATGATGGGGTTGCCAGGGCAATGGTCTGGTGATGACTTCAACCATCTCAATCTGGATAATCAGTGACCGTCGGAGACCGCGCTGAGTTATTGCTGGTATTGATAATTTGATTGGGCTTTGCCTGTCAGCGATCTGTACTTGTTTTTGGGTTCCCAAACACGACGCAACTGCGCTTTCTTGTCGTGGCCTCTGTGATCTTCTATAAGCTCATTCTCATACCTAACATCCATTCAGGGGGCCTCTGTGATCTTCTATAAGCTCATTCTCTGACCACTCATACCTAACATCCATTCAGCGCAGGATTAGTTGAGGGGATCTTGGAGACAGAAAAGGTGTATGCAAATAACCTGTTGAGTGGGACCAACTCCTCCGACACATGTGAGTCATTTCCTGGCACACTGTTCCCGCTGTAACTCACATGCGTTGCAACTGCCGTAATAGCGGCGTGAATAAAGCCGATTGCGGTAATTATTTGAATTTCCCAGTATTCGACTGACTATCATGATCACCGGAAGCATCATGGAGGCTGATACTGATGTTTCAATACCGTACACTCAGTTTAAAGCCCTAAAGTAAGAAAAAGGGAAGGTTGGATGAGGTGACCTAGTACTAACTTGTCACAAGTATTCCGAAGTGCTTACACTCCCAAACATTCAGTCAGGCAATATGGAAAGAAACTGATGGAACGAGTACCACTGACATCGGTTAGTCGCCATTTCTCACATCGTCTCCAGGCAAACGCAAGTTACGGAGATTCGGTCCTGGAAGTCACACTGAATTAGGAACACCCAAACTGTTCGTAACGCCTTTCGCACTCTTCGAGCAAGTCAGGTTATCCATTTCACAATTGGTGCTATTCTGGAAGAGGCACTGAACGAAACTCATCTCCCGACACGTGGCCGGATATTGGATGGTCTTCGCGACTGTTATCTCTGCTGTACAACCGGACACCGGTCTTCTGATTGCCTCTTTACGAAGCCATCAATACAGTCAGATACAATCAAAGCTTCTCTGACATCGGTTGTCAAAAACCCGACGACACCTCAGATCGTCTATCCTCAGGGGACACGTCTTGCAACTGTACAAAAACACAGTCTACTGTAGCCCGATATACGCGGCTTCTGAGACCCACTTATATGCCATTTGGCCCCACATGTGACAAATTGGCAGACTTGATTCGGGCTTTCGAGATTAGCACATTATCTCCATGGTTAATGGAACTACCGACTTATGTAGAATTCTTCACATCCTCCGGTGCCTTTTCTTGGCTTGCGAGTTACGTTTTCTTGAACAGCACATTTTGAAGCATGATTTTTCATGCTGTAGGTGCAAGGCACATACCGAAAAATGGTGTTATAGCGGTCAGTTTATTCAACAGCATGTAATATGCGGTCGTCTTCAAAAATTGGGACGATGACATCTGTGCACTCCAGGTCAACCAGCAACGAGCAATGATTTGAGCACCGGGGGTTTGAGATCCCTCCGCCATTTGCCCCATTATTTCATCGACGAGGAAGTTGAACGAAAATAGAGAGGATAACATCCTTGCTTGACACCATGTTTGTAGCGGAGGTTTTTTTAGGAAAGTTCCCATACATTCATGCGCCCGTGGTTATATGGGAATAAAGGCTGGATTGTTTGTACGACATTGAAGCATGGGTGTTGAACACTGATGTCATACTGCCGATGATGATGGTGATGAGGATGATGACTGGATTGTATTAGGGAACTTCTGGGGCACACCCTGTTGATCAAGCTTAGTTCTATCCAACTGACAGAATAGAGCATACTCTTGGAGTCAAGGAATGTAGGGTTGTGGGTCGTTTGTTCATACGGCACTGCTCGACTGACATCACGACCAAATATTCATGTTTTTATTACCTCGTGACATGCAGCTGTTGGAGGGATGTGCAAACATGTCCCAAAAAGTTATTTTGATCTGGGAAGCTGAATTTCAAAACCGAGAAGTTAGACTTGTTCTCTTTGTTGGCCCAGGCAGCTGTTGGAGGGATGTGCAAACATGTCCCAAAAAGTTATTTTGATCTGGGAAGCTGAATTTCAAAACCGAGAAGTGAGACTTGTTCTCTTTGCTGGCCCAGTGTTTAGAGCTTGAATTTACTGACCGGAAGATACGTGGTTCGAGCCTAACCTTCGTCTCTCGACTTCCCCTGTCCAGGCTTGGGCAACCTGGCAGTATCCCAGCCCTCGTGCTTACTTCGGGTGACATGGCAGCTAGGCACCGGAAGGTTGTTACAGCTGAACGATTATCTTATTTATTTTATTAATTTGTGATTTCTAGTGTCCCTACCAGGGTCCGCCTGTGACCCTGTTGTTTAGATTTGAGAGAGATAGGGTGCCCCTCGGAGAGAACACCTCTTTGAGAATAACAAACTATATTGAAAATCGGGGTTCAAAAGATATCAAACAGTTATTAGGAAATCCATCAACTTATTTCACAGTGACTTGCTCAAATCGGGGTTATTTGGTTTCAAGGGTATTCCGGATCGCTGCCACACATGTGATGCACGCTCGACAAAATGGTCCGAGCACAGCGCGGTCCATGAGGAGATGCTACTTGAATCTGAATATGCCGGTTGACTGAGCCTTTGTATGTTTTAAAACCAAATGTTTGTCCATCGCATATGTTTTCTTTCTGGGGAAATGCAATGACTCGTGCACACAGAACCTCCACGTGTATGTTCGACTGAGCGTAAAATCAGATCTATACACACTATGTTTTTTGACTTGTTCAGAGGTTTAACTAAACCTGAGTTTTCTAGGTTATGGTTGTTGTCTAGTGACAGTGTTACACGCCCGATTGGCCTTTTTGAGAATCCTCACTTTTGTGGCATTTGAACCGAGGTCTTTGGCGCAAAATAGGTGGGCAAACGGCTAGTTGTGTCGTCGGCATGTGTAATATCAGCAACATCTAGGTGTGTAACTGAATGCGACTAATGGAATGGCTGATTTTTGGGTGTAACCTTAAGCTTGGATATGATCGAAATTCATGCGAACGTCTGGACGCAGAAATTCGATGACTTTATGATGTCAGGTGAACTCAGCATGCCGTTCGCTACTGCCGCCCACATGAACTCATCGGTAAACTGAATCTAAAGTCAGTCGTGGATGGCTTCTTGGTTCCTGAAACTGATATGTAAACAACTCGGCTGGCGTTGCTGGTTGGATCAGTAGAATTCGGGCGAGGTTTTCGGTCAATGCGGAGTATGACTTCCTGAATCACCTGATGGTTGCGAGCCAATATACACATTACTTATGCGGAATATATGCGATTACAGCCTCCCTGCCAGGGAACGGGTAACCTTCAGTTGGTGTGGAAAGTTACCGACATACAATACCGTTCACTGCTTTGCTTGAGATAAACAAACCTTGTTTTTCGGTCAAAGATAAACAATTCTCTGGAGGAACCATTAGACGAATCACTCAAATGCCATTTCACAAATTGAGAAGATAAGAATAAAGGGGTGGGTCTGGCCACAACTGACTGTCACCGTGTCAGTTCGTTTTGGTTGAGTGGAATTCGGTCCGTTTTGTTTTATCTAGCCAGCGAAATGCGGTCAAGGTCACATGTGGAACTGTCAGCACCTCGTAAGTTAGTTGTTTTGTTCATGTGTTCTCGTCACGCCTTAAATACAAGATATTTGCTATTCATCACTGAAGGATTCACGCCGCGAAAAAGATGGAATCTGGCTTCCCTAGTTAACGGTTCCTGAATGAGAGCTTCATGACTAAACTTGATCTCACCCCCGAAGGAGGCCTACGTCTAACAGGAACACAATTTCCCGTGGACATAACCTGTATTAAGAGTAGGAAAGCATTCCACTTCAGTCAGTATGCCTTTTGTAGATTTCAAGTCTAGTTCACTGTTGTGAATACAACTGCTCTCGGGATTACAATTACCGTTAACCTGCCTGCGTTAGTGTGTATAGTAAACATCTAAAGTCCATTTTAGGTATTTGATTTTCCAATACTGTTCATTCTTATCCTCTCCCCGAATTTTCACAGCGACGTGCTCTGCAACGAGCACCACAGAAAACTACTGAGCCACCAGTGGACACCATTGGGCCTGCTGAAAATGGCCCGTTGAAGTTGCTGCCTGTTTTGGATACGTCGGATATGGATCCAGAGCTGGCGCGATATTTGAACAGACATTATTGGGAAAACAGAGCAGCGTCGTCTAACCAGCTGACTAACAAGTCAGCCCTTGATGACCCGCATACTTCACCTGGGCCACAGCCCAGCGCTCCAATTTATTCCAGTCCGATTCCGACTCCAGTTAAAACTGGCAATCCATCAGGACCGGGAGTTGTTCAAACCAATGGATTATTGGTAAGTGAGATTCTTACTGGCTTACTCCATTCTTGACCTTGGTGGGTCTATTCTGTCTATAGTTCACCAGCGCTGCGGTCCATGAGTTTGCGCCTCGCACAGGAATCGGCTGTTCAGTTGTTCCCGTCATTCTTAGATATCTTCGACCAGCATCTGGGTATTCTGATAGGAAGCTGCTTCTCCCCTTCTCTCGCCTATCTTAATTCCATGGGTTCACACCGAACAAAGGGTATCTGGGCACGGGAGACCACAGACTTCCGTAGGCGCTGATGTTAGTAATAACCCTCAAAATACTCAGACACCTTGAATCTCGTCTCCTCTTTGTATTGTCTCCCACTGGCTTTTTCCAGGTACACTAAGAAATAATCCAGTTGTGTCCCTTCCATTCTAGTATATACGTGACTGTTTTTCAATCGGACGGATTTCTTCAAACAGTTTTTATCAACTTCCGTCTATTTTTTCCGTACTCCTTAATGGACCGTGGCCTATTGTTCAGTGGCCCCGCCTTTTTGCTGAATCGTTCAGCTGGGATTAGGTCCGCCACGTTTCACGTTTGAGCACCATTAGTTCTCATATATTTTGTACAGTTTATTCCTCTCTTCAGTGATTTGTCTTTGCTCGAGAAAACTACTTTGTGAAGATTTAACAGGGAACGGGTTAATGCCATACCATACAGGATCAGCCGTACAAACTAGTATCGTACCCACCACCGATGATAAAGACAGCAATGCAATCTACTCTTCTGTGGACAGTGGCTTATCGAATCGTGTGGATAAGTGCACACCTTAGTTTTTGGCAGCTCAGTGCTCAAAACTCTCAGACACGACCAAAATAGACCACTGACTAAAGCCCCTAGCTCGCCCTTACTACGATCCTAATTTATCTTTTCAATCACATGGGTCATTCATGAGATATATTTCGTAGTGCAGTCTGCTTTTCCCTTGCCTATTATGATGTGCATTTACTTTTTCAAGTCGGGTTGACCGATAATTTTTTAAACGTGACCAGTGCGCAACTTCTGTTGGTTTGAGACACTTTACTCGTTTACATTCCTCATGTCCTTTATCGATCAGAGATTGATGCTACTGTTTGTCAAGTGTTTGATTCTAGAGCACCGCCTAAGTGATAACATACCCAACGGTCGCGTGCTAGGTCTCGTGACTGGCCACTATGGTGAGACTTGCCATTCCAATGTCTCATATTTGTACTGTGTGACTTTTATCGCAGCCGCAATGTGGTCGATGAAATCTGTGGTTGTATTTGTTGGCGAACTTGAGCCACTAGCTTTTTTTTAAAAAAGACTGGGTGATAATAGGTGGCCTTGTAGACCGTGCTCTGAGTTTCGCAACTGGCTCAAGTCTATTCTCGGAGTCGAGTCTTTTTCTGAGGCGATATCAATTAAATACGTACTCCTCCACGCGGATAAAGTTTATTTCTCAATAGTCAACGTGGTGTTCATATTGTCAGTTTCTGTCAGGATAAGGGTTTGAACTTGTAGGTGCATCGGAATGATTCTAGTAAACTAGCACCAGATCCATTCCCTGATTTTACCGACCTTTCGGGCTTTAAAAACAAATGTTTAAAAGTTGCGGTCGTATGGTGGTGGATGATGTCTATGATTTCTATGATGTCTATAATGATCCTGATCAGCAACCAACAAGAGTGGCCGCTAATTTTAGAAAAAATTATGAATAGGGGAGTGGGTATTCTATGGTTTTTGATTGCGCACGCTGCGTCTAAACGGGATCACTTGACCTACCAGAAGCTTTTGCACACTTACAGCTCGAGCAATTCTAGAAAATATCTTATGTTGCTGGGCTCAGTGGGTTCCCCACTTTGATCCGTCTGTAGGGCCTGTCCTTCGAATTCAGCTAATGTCATTTTAGTACACATCAGGCCTCTGAGCTATTAGACAGAGTCCTAAATTAACGTTGTTCGCTCAAACAAAGTCACGGAAAATCAGCTTCAACGGGTACGTCGATGGAAGGACGGTATGTACCAGCGGACTATAATCTTTTAGGACCCAGCAAAGAGCTTTCATGTTTTTTCCTTTAAATAATATGAAGATAATCCTGTGCGTTCACGGTGACTTTGTGATATACTCAGTTATTCACATCCAAAATCGGACATACATGTGCGCCATGCTTATGACAGTAAATTTGTTCGTTCAGTTCCCCAAAGGCGATGAGTAACCCAATGATCGCTTGACAGCAACAGGATTTCTAACAAATCGATTCTCTTTTATCCGTTTTGCTGGGTTAGGTAAACCTTGTTTGTCTCGATTCGTTTACAGTACTTTTACTGTCTTCAGCTGCGAGTTTGAAACAGACTTTCGTTCATCTGACTAGTTGCCTATTACTGAATGTTGTGTTTTGTTGTTTACAGCAGTCTGGAAATGACAACAACACTGTCTTCGAATCGGAATCGACTTTTCCTGGTGTGCCGGAATTAACAACACCAAAGCAGGAGGAATTCCTCAATGCCCTGAGAGCCAGTGTGGAGTTCTTTGTCAATCGTATGCAGAGTAACAGTCAGCGAGGTCGGAGCATTGCCAATGACACCACAGTACAAGCTTTATTCCTCACTCTTCATGAAATGCATCCGCAATTACTCCAGTATAAACAGGCGATGGAAGAAAGACGGGGTGAGTGGCCTGTGTATTTGTCTGCTCAGTGTCATGGTGGGATCGTTCGCTCATTCTGTTTTTTGTATCGGTTACCTAGAACGTGCTTCCAATACTGTTTATGGGTTGACTTCTGTGTTACGCCGTATTGAGGCAAACCGCCCCTCCAGAAAATAGTTGGTTACTGCTTTACAACAGCTTGTCGCGACACTTGTTGGAGTTCCATCACTTTATGCTGTGAAGTTCTCACTCTTGTCTTTATTCAACCAGTCCTGAATCCATCCGCCATGTTTCTTTACACTTTAGCCTATTTCGAGGGTCTACAAGACAAAATAACTCAGTTGCGCGATGCGCGTGAAGCGTTGGATGCACTGCGACAGGAACATGCCGCCCGTCGCCAATTGGAAGAACAAGAGGCTGCTCGTCTTCGACAATTGCAAATGATGCAGAAACTGGAAGTGATGCGGCAACAGAAGCGAGTATGTTATGGTTTCTTGTCTCTACTTTGTTTTTTCGGGTCTCACAACGATCTTGTGTTGCCTGTTGACAGAGTCTAGCTGCTGGTGAATAACCAGATAATCACCACCCCAACTAAATCCACCGATGAACTCTTATCAGGACCAAAAGCGTATGGAACGGCTCTTACTTTATGTTTGTAGGCACTGCAATTCAGTGGCTTGGTAATTATTTTTGAAAATCATGTTAATTTGAAAATAACTGTCCGGATTTTCACTGGTGGTCAGATTTTCAACGAATTCAACGCATAGACGAAACCAAGCGGTTCGTTAAAATGAATGTGGTTCGTATTACTGTAGGTTTACTGTTTCCAAAGGACGTTTTATTTCCGCTTCTCGTACCACACTTCACACCTCGTGCTCCCGAAAGGCGCTTGGTATAAGACCATATTTAGATTCTTGGCTTCTCTATACTGAAGAGACATTGCTTTGAATCTCTTCGTTTGAGTTTTGTCATCCTTCAGTGCAGCTGGTACTTATAAGAAACTCAATTACTGAGCTGTTGCCCCTTCACCCAGGTTCAGTGTGGTGCAGACGATGAGGTGAAGGCCACCTCGAACTGTAGATCTGTTTGTGGTGAGTTCGCTCACGTTTGTGCATCCGCGTATTTTCTGATTGTATCGGGCAAGGGCACGGAATACGCATTGAGGAGAACTCGCACGTGTGATCGCCTTGATAGAGCAATTGAGTGCTCATCGACAATGAGAGCCATAGAGTTGTCTACTGCTACTTTGCTCTTTGAATATCGCTTCGAATGTGGTATTTGATAACGTAATACCAGGTAGGTTTTTACATTGTCCTTTTTTTACGTATGCTGAGCCAGTGAGACCATTTCCATATCGGACATGAGCGCTCTCTGGCTGCCTGAACTAGGCTGCTTGTTAATTTAGGTGCCATTGGACTCTGGCATTTTATCAAGGGTGGGGAAAAGTGAATCCAATGGATTTCTTCGCAAATCTCACATAATACGAGCGGAATGTTGCACTTCGTTGGGGACCGTAAGTTTTGGATCATTGGCTGTTCCCGTGCATCTAAGATCCTATTCTCCTAACCGATATTTGTTGTCCAGCCGATCGAATGCATGATATGAGAACGGTTGTGCACATTTGTTTGGGAGCCAGCCGTCCCTAATAACCGAACAGCACATCATTTGGACGGATGTGTCACGTGCAGGACACGGGCCAAACGAAGTCCTGATTGGTCAGAATGCCAGCCAATCCGGGTCAAGCACCCTTGACTGGACGCTTCTCGCCCCCTCACGGAGATTCTGGCATGACCTTGTGGAACACTGTGACCACCCTATAAATACAGTTGTACTGATTTTCCTTTGTCTCCGAAAAGGGCTGTGTAGAGCAACCGTGCTTTTTGATATACCATGGTGGGGGGTGCAGGAAGCCAAGGGACCGATACGGAGTTGCACTACCGTACTTCAAGACACATTTGTACAACCTTTTCTAGTTGCACTACCGTACTTCAAGACACAACATTTGTACAACCTTTTCCTGCCCAAACCAGGCTGTAGCACGGAGTCGAATCGATGATTGCGGTGCGCGAGTTGCATTAATATGTGTCTGCCTTCGTCTAACCACATATGGGAGGTTTACTAGCAGACCTACCGCTTCTTGGTTCTGTTCCCTGAATCCAGTTTGAACTATCTTCTGGTTAATATTAAAGGTAAGGTTGCCAAGTTTTCTAGTCTGAGTCACATTTTAAAATCGAAATTCACGCAGTAATTCCTGCAGATGTGCATACTACTGTCAACATAGCACATGTGAGTCGTGTGCAACTGTCGCTTGTCGAGTGGCCATTAAGGTAATGTTTTTGTTCGCCTGACCATCCTATACATATTCGTTGGGTTCGCCGTTCCTTGTAGCCTGCCTACTATTGACCTCACCTACGTATAATCGCACAATCTTCTGAGGTATTGCGTAGTTCGGTTTTCGGCGTTTTAGGGACTATTCTTGTATGATCTGTCCCCATCTGTGATTGTTGTCTTCACAACGTTGTGAAGACGTTGCTTCTGCCGGGGTGGAATGATTCAAGTTACATTCCTCCCTCTCTCGAAGGACCGTCTTCTGGAAAGACCGTTTCAGAAAAGTGGCTACGTTTGATTGGATCCTTTCGGCCCATTTCATTACCAGCCTTTCTTCTCAGAAGAGACAGCTGGAGTGCTCTCCTCAAAAAGGAACAAAGTGTTCATATGTTTCGGGACTTCACTCCCTAATAAAACCGATATATGGACTGGATAACTTGATTTTGAACCAAGGACCAAAGCACTTTGACGTGATCGTCTGTATAGACGAAATGTTGGCAGTGCGCATAATAAAGGATAATAGATCATCTAGTGACTATATTCATTGTACGGTTGTTCCCCTGAAGAATGGATTACTGGTAGGAAGGAGAGGCTCAATTCTAAGAGGTATTCCTTGTGGGCTAATTCAACGGTCGAAGAAACTCAAACAAGTAAAAACAGTTGTCGCTTAGTTAACTTTCGCACGCCTGTTTACTGCTTGATTTGCTTTGTATTCAGGATACGCTCGAGTATAGGCGCCGCCTGGCTATGGAACAAACAATGCAATACCAACAACAATATCAGCTTCCACCTCAATCAATGCAACACTCCATGGATCCGGTCACAGGAATGCCCATAACTATGCCCATCGGGCCCTATCCAGGCGGTTACCAAATACCAAACCCGTCTTATTCTATGGCAGGACCAACTCAGGGAATGTACATTCCACCAAGC